TCTCACGCTTGAGGTATTCGGCTAATCACAACGCACTGGATAGCTGGCTAATCAGAGCACACCTCGCTTTTCAGACCGATTAGTTTTGTAAAAATCGACGCGTTTCAGAAGGCGGGGCATAGAGGAGAAACAATAATGTACAGTATGTGGAAAATAATGTGTTTTTTTAACTTTAAACCGCATAAACACATTTCATTACACCAAATACACAAAATAATGTTCTTTTTAGCAGCATCATATGACCCCTTTAATAGAACCTTTAATTTGACATTATTACAAAGTTAACTTTTTAAAAGTATACTTATAGATGTTAAGAAACATAGTCATGATACTGGACACTCTTTAAGTTCACTTAAGTGGCCTATAATTCCAATAATATATTAGGCTATCTGCAAGTAGAGTTTTGTAAAAATGCACTTTGAATATTTTAACTACACTTCATGTGCACATTCAATATGATTTAGCACACTTCTTTTTCATAAGGGACCTGCCTCTGTCTTTTTAAATGTGACCATGTGCTTGTATGGTGTATTCATCTAACACATTATCTTCCCACAGGGTTCACTAAGCCGCTGTCACTCAGAGTCAGTGAAAAAGCCATTGATACAGAAGGCAGAGGGCAGCTCTTTTACAATAGAGAGTGATGCACTACGAAAAGCAAAGCAGGATATCACAGTGGTGGTTTATGGTAGGAGTTGCTTTAACATTAAATTGTACCCATTCTTCTGAAAAGTAAATAGTGGCCCTAAAATGAGCTTGGGCACTGAAATCACTCTTACAAATGTATGAATTTCAATATCAAAACAAGCAGAATCTGCAAAAAAAAAAAAAAAAAAAAAAAAAATTGTTTTACAACCAGAAAGTGTCCAATTTTTTTGTGTTCATTTTAAACAGTATATCTATTATTTTATTGTTTGAAACCCAGCACATCTGTTTTAATTTTTTTTGCTCGAGAAGTGTGTTTGAGCTGTCTTTAAATACAAATAAATTCTGCTTGGTTTGATATTATTATCTAATGTGGTGACATTCATACATTTTTAAATGTGACTTAAAGAAGTAGTTTACCTTAACATAAAAAATTTGCAAAAAATGTACTCACCCTTAAGCCATCCAAGACGTAGATGAGTCATTAGAACAGATTTGGAGAAATTTAGCATTACATCACTTGCTCTCCAATGGATCCTCTGCAATGAATGGGTGCCGTCAGAATGAGAAACATCACAATAATCCACACCACCCCATCAATCTTGTGATGTGAAAAGCTGTGTGTTTGTAATAAATAAATCCATTATTAAGGCGTTTTAATTTAAAGCTTTGCTTTCGGCTAAATTAAGAGTCCATAATCCATAACATTGCTTTCTCCAGTGAAAAAGTCGTCTCATCTGAATCAAGAGAGAAATATGCACAGATCAAGCACTGTTCACAAGCAAAAACAATCCAAGAGATTCTAAACAAATACTGTAATATTTTTATCAGCTGTTTGGACTCTCATTGAGACGGCACCCATTCACTGCAGAGGATCCATTGGTGAGCAAGTGATGTAATGCTAAATTTCTCCAAATCTGTTCCAATGAAGAAGCAAACTCATCTACAACTTGAATGGCCTGAGGGTGAGTCAATTTTCAGCACATTTTCATTTTTGGGTGCTTTTTGGGACCACCAAACCACTTTAATTTACAGTGCCCTTGTTATACATATAACTACTACTATATAGCAAATTTTGCATAATTAAACTACCATTCAACTACCCCTAAACCAAACCCTAACCCTGCAGTACAGTACGTGCATGCTGTTAATCAATATTACTCTGTATTTATTTGTGTAATTACACGGTAACAATGACATCTTAAAATAAAGTGTAACCCCAAATTACTTTGTACAACTTCAATCAAATTTAAGACCCTAGTGGATTTGATGCCATATGTGTTTTCTCTTAGCTATCAAGGACAGCTTATCTGGATCTGCTAGATACACTGTTCCAATTGTTGATACATCCAGTACTGAGGATTCATCAGTCCAGCCGCTTTTGCCGACTACTGTCTCTCCATCATCTCATACTACTGATAAATCACTCAACTCTGTAACGCCCCCTGTTGCCTTGAGTCCTCTCTCCTGTGTCATTAGTCCTCTTGTGGGTGATGTTCTCTCTCCCTTTAAGATCAGCTGCTCTGTTGATCCATCTTTTTGCAGAGCTGGGTCCTGTATTTTTTGCTTCAAAACTGCCAGGGGTAAGACATGTGATTTATATTCTAAATTTGGTCAAATCAACCTATGTATATAAGGGTTAACTTTGTGTACTTTGACCTATTTTGCAGGTAATTGTTTTTATTGTGGTGCCGAGCCCACAGTGGAGTCGCTTTACCTCCCTCTAGGGAATAAACATAACAACTACAGTCTGATGGTGGACATCACTGTTAAGAATGCAGCAGGTGTTACTGCTGACACTGCTGTAACCACTCGGGTTTGTAGTCGAGTTGATTTGTTTATGAGCATCTTTTCAAAAGCAAGTGAAAAAATACACACTTCAAAACAATTCAGCTGAATTAATTAGACAGATGGTTCATTCTCAGAAAGCTGTGCCACTTGTCCTTTAGAAATGGAATTGCCAAATTTCAAGATTTCATTATGGTTTCCCACTTCATGCCCAAAATACCAGATCTGCACTACACAGTGAGCGAAGAGCATAGATGAATGAATATTCAGATAATCAACACATACTTGTTCTTCAATGACCAAATTGTAAAACTTTTCAAACTTTAAACAAGTTTGTAATCTATATACTAATTTATACTTGATCATATAAATGGACATCTAAGTAAATTTTGGTCAGTTTTTTTTCTTCGTAATAAACCAAACATTATAAAATAAATAATTAAATATATAAGAATGTATGACTTCCTTTTCAAAACATGTTTTGTGCCATATAATTATGGCAAAAGGAGAGCAAATGTTGGAAACCATGTGTCAATGCTCAGCGATCATACATTATTATTTTTTTTTAAATATTAATAATAAATAAAATATTAAAAATGTATGTAATTCAGTAAATTCAATAAATGCAAAATTTAGGTTCTAAATCCTACTTGTATATTTTTTCAACCAATTTCAGTCTTTTTTTAATGCATTTATATATAATTGTGATGAATAGTATCATTCAGTAATATATCAGTAATATCAGTACCAGGTTATGGGGACCATGGAACCATTTCCTAAGAATTACCGGTAGTTAGACAGATAAAATGGCAGACAAAAAGAAGGACGGTCAAGATAGACAGAACAACAGAATTGTGGAAATAAAAATTGTTGTGCATCACATTCCAGGTAAAGGACACCAGTAGTAATCACACAGTTGGAGATCTCCAGGCGCTGGTTTCCAACCAGGTGTCTCAGCTGCAGCAACAAGGTCGACTCACTGGGGCAGCGCTGGCACAGATGTTCCAGTCTGTGTCCGACAGACTGAATGATGCATTACCAGAAGTACAGCATGACAGTGTCAAAAAAGAGGTAGTCCATAGGGAATATGCACATTCAGAAATGTTTTATATACCCATCTTTTAAGCAAATATTCTTCTTCTAACTGAAGCTGAGGGAAGAGATGTTGCAGAGTTTGAGTGCTGCCACGAGTTCCTTCCCCCCAAAGAATCCAGCAGAGGTGCAGATGAGTGCTAATGTGGTTTCAGGCCTTACCACACAGGGTCATGAGCTGACAGACACTGCTCAGGTACTTCTTTAACCATCCAGATGGTAGCAATACAGTGTTAGTAATACATCTCTCCTAACTCGTTCATCCTGGCTACAGTTACAGGCTAGTTATCTGCTAACAAACCTCAGTAAGTCCTTGGTCTCCTTGACGCTTTCTGGCAAGGAGTTCTCTGAAAAGATACTGCAAGCATCCACGCCGATTATTGATGCTGCCAGTAACATCATCAAAGTTTCTTCCAGTACTTCTAAGCAGGTACATCACAACACTCAAGCCTTGCTCCATATTCTGATTCAAAACCATCATTCCTGACACTGTTTTCATTACCCTGTACTACAGAATGAGATCTCCAGTCATTTACTAAACACTGTGGACAATGTTCAGAGTGCCTTGTTGGCTGGGAAAAAGGTGAACCAGGAGCCCATCATACTCAGCTCTTCAGTTTTTGGTTTATATGTCAACAGGTAAACGAATAATGTTGGTAGGTCAAGGAATTTATTGTCTTAACTCATAAACATAAGACCCATTTTACTTCCATAATTTAACATATTTTGTATGTTGCAACTTTTTTTTGTATGTATGTCACAATGTAACATAGATTTTGAATTTTTTTTCCAAAACAGGATATTCTGTGAGACAAATGGGTCATGAAATGGTTGGATCGTGAAAAGTGATTTCTTTGTAACAGGTGGTTAGAGGGGATGAAAAAGCCATGAAATGGCTTGATAAATATTTTGTTTTAACACATTTTCTATTGAAACAGGAAGTCGGTATAGCCTATAATTTACAGTACATCACGACTCGCAAAATCACAATTTACTACATGGTATTGCTAGTCAGAAACAGGTGTTAATTATATTTTAGATGGGGTGAACATTCACATTCTAGAGACCATTTTCACAGGAGATAATTTGGTACATTTTACTGAAGAGAAAACTGCTAATTTTCAATATGTGGTAAAAGTTTATTTGTGCACAAGCATATAGACAGCCTCAAAACTGATTGACATGAACTAAAAGGAGCAAACCTCAATTTTCTTTTAATAGGGTCTTTATTTTGCAGCTTAAGAAATAAAATGACTCATTCTGCTGTGCTCTTTCAGAATATCATTGGATGATCTTCAGAAACAGCCCTTTAACATTCAGAAGAACAGCTCTGCCAGTTTTATCCTCCCATCTCTGGGCTCTGTTCTGTCTCCAGATGAACCAGTAGATGTACGGGTGAGTTGAGTGACAATTTCATCTTTTTTCTCTTTTAGGAAGTCTAAAGTTGATGAGCCCATAATTTAGATTTTAGGTCAAATTTACATTTATTAGTTCAGCAGATTATTTTATCCAAAGTGACTAACAAATGTGATTCATCCTGAGGAGGCAATAACACAAGAAGTGCATATAAAAAAAGTTTCAGACATTGTCTAGAACAGGGAGGGACATAAGAAATAGAAAAAGCATAGAATTTCTTTTAAAGAGTCAACATGGGCCAACAGGACAGGACACAGTTAAGTGCTCAAGGGAAATTTGTTTTTGTATTTGAACTGTTTCTTGACTATTATAAGAGGTTTGGTTGTCCGGATATGGTTGTGAAGATCATTCCACCACTATGGAACAGTGAATGTTCGGGAAAGTGATTTTGTGCCTTTCTGTGATAGTACCACAAGGTTCAACTCACTCACTGACCTCAGGCTTCTAGAGGGAATGTAAAGAGGGAGTAAGAGGGAGTAGAGGTAAAAATATGCCAAGTATCAGTGTCTTGAAACAGTAGCCAATGAAGAGAGATTAAGAGAAGTGTAACATTGGCTCTCTTGGGTCTCATTGAAGACTGATTGTGCTGCTGCATTCTGTATCATCTATAGAGGTTTGATTGTACATGTTGGACAACCAGCCAGAAGAGCATTGCAGTAGTTAGGAAGGGCCTGATCTTCAGAATGTTGTGCAGTACAAACCTGCATGACTGTGTTACAACGTGGTCTTTGAAGCTCATCAAGGCTAGCTAGTTAGTCATCAAAGGTTACTCCAAGGTTTCTGACTGATCTGGTTGAAATTATCGTCGAAATCTGGATGGTGAAATTGTGCTGAAATGTTGGAGTGGCTGGGAAGACTACTTCCCTCTTTGCTAGGTTGAGTTGTTCTCTCAGCCATGCTGAGATGTCTGCCAGACAGGCCAAGATCCACACAGCTACCGTGGAATCGTCTGGTTGTAATGAAAAGTAGAGTTGCATGTTATCTGTGTAATAGTAGTAGGAGAAACCTTTGAACACCTCTTCCACCTACTTGTGAGGTAAGATTCACAAATTAGACTTCTGTAATACTAATTTTCATCTTGAATGTATCACAGATGACAAGTTTCAGGATAAATCCATTTTCACGGCATGAGGGCGAGCATATTAGTGGATCAGTGGGGTCTCTATCTCTCACCAAAATGAATGGCTCTGTGATTACAGTGGCAAACCTCACTGAGGAGATTGAGGTAAAAGGAGATTGTCAGCAATAAAGGCCAAAAGCTTGGCTACTGTAAACATAAAACATCCAGAACTTGTTTTCTTCATTTCCTAGATTCTTTTACCAAGGACAGAGGTGGCAGAAGTTAACCAAACTCTTCTGGAACTGGCAATCTTCAGCACTGTCGTCATTAATGTGACTGCACCCAATATATCTCTGGTTTTCAAGTTAGACCCTTCAGAGGAGACCCCTCTGCAGTTGCTCCTCGGTTTTCAGGACTACCCTAACGATACAAATTATGAAGCTTGGATCCAGCTACCTCAAGATGGCGACTCTGAAGGTTATTAACCAATATAAACAAATTAACAGAATTTAACAATTTTAGAAAGAGATTGAGACTTATTTTGTTATATTTGTGTGGTGCAGAGGAGAGGTACACTTGGGTGCTTAACCCTACGGAAATGACAATAGAAGTAGGCGTTTACTACCTTCTGGTGAGGCCTGTTGTTGGAGCAGGGGTGAATTCGACAAACACCTCAGTTTTCATCACAACCATTGCTGCTCACTGTTTGTATTGGGATGAGACAAAGGCCAATTGGAGTGGCGATGGCTGTAGGGTAAGTCGATCAATTAATGTCTTTTAAGGCCGTTCACACTGACAGTTATTTTATTACTGCAATCATTCTCTGTGTGAACGCTCCTTTAAACTGAATAAGCATGTAATTTATACAGAGGATTTCATGGTTAGAGTCTTACCTTTTTTCAGGTTGGCCCTCGTACTACAACATTGGTTACTCAATGCCTATGTACCCATTTGACCTTTTTTGGAAGCTCTTTCTTCGTCATGCCCAACGTTGTTGATGTGTCCCGCACTGCTGAACTCTTTGCAACCTTCGTCAACAACCCAGTGGTGGTGTGTTTTGTAGGCGCCATCATCCTGGCTTACCTGTTGGTTGTGATGTGGGCACGAAGAAAGGATATTCAGGATGCAGTGAAGGTTTGCTTTTAGAAACCTGGTTCTCTTGAAAAAACAATTTGACACTTGTAATTCCTTATCTTGTTTGAAACAAAAAAGCACAAAGATAAACTATAAATAAAATAAATAAAAACTTCCTTGTTTAACTTTCATGGTAATCTCCCTACTTAAAGGTGAAGGTCACAGTACTTGAGGACAATGATCCCTTAGCTGAATATCGTTACTTGTTGAGTATCAATACAGGGCATCGTCGTGGGGCCTCCACCTCTTCTCAGGTAAGTGTCATCCAGCTTTAGTTCCAGCATTTTTTCAGGAACACTGTACCATTCAGTATTAACACTGCCATAAAATTGCTCCAGGTGACAGTGACTCTACAGGGCACAGAAGGAGAGATTGAACCTCATCATTTGACTGACCCTGAAAAACCAGTGTTTGAAAGGGGAGGACTGGACATGTTCTTGCTGACCACCCCCTTCTCACTGGGAGAGCTACAAAGTATTAGGCTGTGGCATGACAATTCAGGACAGCATCCTGCTTGGTAAAATTAATAGAAATGTCACATAGTACTTTGTCAGATTTCTTGGAGGCATGCTGATTTTTGTCTATGTAATTTCATTACTTTCTGTATGTGACCCTCTGGAATTGTCACAGGTATGTTAATAAGGTGATGGTACAAGACCTGGAGACTGGGCAGAAGTGGCACTTCCTGTGCAACTCATGGTTGTCCGTTGACTTGGGAGAATATACACTAGATAAAGTTTTCCCTGTAGCAACAGAGATGGACTTGAAAAGGTTTAGGTATGTAGCTGAGAGATTGTTGGGTAAGAAATAGATGTGTGGTACAAAATTATGGGTATTTTCTCATTAACGTTTAATTTATTGTCTTTAAACTTTACAGTAATTTGTTCTTCATGAAGACTGCAAAAGATTTCCGTGATGGTCACATCTGGTTCTCTGTAATCAGTCGTCCCCCAAGTAGCAATTTTACTCGAGTACAGCGTGTCTCCTGCTGTTTTTCGCTGCTGCTCTGCACCATGTTGACCAGTATCATGTTCTGGGGTATCCCATCAGACCCCTCAGAGCAGACCATGGACCTGGGTATGACAAATAAAACATTAATCTAACAGTATCTTACATCAACTTCACTTCAGCCCTTATCAGCAAAGTTGAACATGTCCATCCTTATTTAGTCGGTACATTCAGTCCATTATTATTCAGTCCGTACTACATGTGACTACAGGATACTGTACTCAAACATGGCTTGCTAAAGTCGCACTTGGGCACAGAATGACAATCACACTCCATGCCATTGGTTAGCTTTTTATCATACCACTAGAACACCATCGCATTACACCTGTTTAATATACTAGACAGCTCCATTGTTTGTAATAGTTTAGTCATTAATGGTTAAAAAACTGACCATTTTTCAAAACGTGTGTTGCTTGAATCAAACATATGTACATTCATAATAATGTGATTTCTATCTTTGCATGGGCTACAGGTCAGATTGAGTTCACCTGGCAACAGGTCATGATTGGCATCCAGAGTTCCATTATCATGTTTCCTATCAATCTCCTCATTGTGAGCATCTTCAGAAATGCTCGTCCAAGAGAACAAAAGTCTGAATCATCTTCAAAGCAACAGTCAAAGATAGATCCCAAAAAGCCAGGCAAAATGGGGCGTGTATCTCCGAATCAGCCTCCACACAATAATCACAAGGAAATCACACCTGACACTGTGATAAAGGCAAGTCCTTCTCTAAGAGTTTGGCCCAGAATAGTTCCATTTCTCTGTCATAATGGATGTGGTATTATGACATTTTTTATAACATCTTTTCAGGACATCAAACGGATAGCACAGTCACTCTATAAGGTCATGAGAAGACCTGTTCCAAGGACAGAACTGGACTCCACCAAAACAGATATCAACAATCTGCTGTCACTGGTTGAAGAGATAATTCGTCAACACAATCGAGTTGGAAGTGAGTTTTACACGGACTCTTCTAAAAAGAAGCAAACTCTCGCAGCTTCTCTGGAGTGTGTAAATCTGAAAGGTGAGTCCATGGACATGGACAATTCAGAACTTCAAATTATCCCATCTCATACTCTAAAATAACCACTGGAACTTCTGGTTGGTTTGAAATTGATCTACCCGACTTCAGGGAGAAGTGTCCTTTGATGTTCTATCCAGGATGGTGGAACGAAAGCAATGTTCCATTGGTTATTTTCAAGTGGAAGTGGGAGAATTTAAGTTCTAGTTGTCTTAAATGAGTATGACTGGAATGTTTTGAGGTCAGAAGTGGAAATTTTTAACTTGAGTATTCCCACCTCCTACTTTGAATTGAGAGCAGCATTTGATTATAAATACATAATTATTATATATATAATATATATATATATGAAGCAGTAATATTGTTTTGTTCCTATCACAGAGAGCAGTTTTTGTGAGAACCCAGAGCAAAATGGAAAACACAGTGTCTACAGCCAGTATCTCTACAAACAACTGCAAAATGTGGAGAGAGCGCTGAGACTGCTGGGGCCTTCATCCTTCTCTATGCCAAACAGCTACAACCAGGCTGTATTGCAGGTCCAAGGCATGAAGAACCTACTTGAACCTCATGTCTCCTCCTGTTCTGTCAGTGGTCTACATACCCGTAGCTCCAGCCCTACAGAGGGCAACAGTGGAGACAGCAGAAAGTGTAGTCAGAAAGGCTTGCCCTGGTGGTTTGTGTTCGTTGGTTGGTTTCTTGTTGTATCCACCAGTGGTGTTTCAGCATACTTCACTATGATGTATGGGTTGACCTATGGGAAGGAGCGTTCCATCAGCTGGCTCATCTCAATGGTGGTGTCCTTCTTCGAAAGCCTCTTCATCACCCAGCCTGTAAAAGTAAGAGATGGAATAAAAAAGACAATTCTTGTGATCTTCCTTTTTGTATTTTATGATTGTATATTTATGTGTATTGTACATTACCACTTCCTGTGCAGCTTGTATTTACATGACATTGTCTACTAGCTGTTTTGTCACTACAGAGACCTGGACTTAATGAGATTTATTGGTTTCTTTAGGTACTGGGCTTTGCAGTCTTCTTTGCTTTGGTACTCAAAACAGTTGATCAAGAAGATTATGGAGATGTTCCGATTGATGGGACTCTACCCAGCACGGGTAACTGGACAATGAGCAACATGAGTAAATTTATAGCATCATATTATCACTTTTTTAGTGTGACAAAACCTCAGCTGAAACATCTGTCCACAGATGATCCCGATGCAATCAGAATTGCCAGAAGAGACAGCACATGTAGTTTCTATCAGCCTCCTCCTCCCACTGACATAGAAAAGATGAGAAACAACATGATCAAGGAGCAGAAAGTGTTTGCACTCATCCGGGAGATTCTCAGTAAGAAGAACATAATTTATCTATTATTAATCAAAAGATCAGCTTGTTTGACACAGCCTTTTACGTTGCAGTTTATGTGGGATTCCTTTGGATGCTTCTCTTGGTTGCATATGGTCAGCGAGATCCACATGCATACTACCTCACTCAGCATATCCGGCAGAGTTTCAGCAATGGCATTTCCGAGAGTATGAACCACAAAGATATATTAAATTGGGCAAAATCCTCCTTGCTCAGTAATCTGGTTGGGCAATATCCAGGTATTCCTTCAGTATGTATTGTCAACATTGTCTACTTATTCAAGGTTAAAAACTGCTTGTATATTGTACCGAAAGACCTAAATGTACCATGTTATTTGTTACCCTTTCAGGCTTCATAACAGATGGAAATTCAAAACTTGTTGGCAACGCTCGATTCCGCCAGGTTAGGGTAAGGAAAGACTCTTGTAAAATTGTCAAGACCATGCAGTACTCTGTTCCTGACTGCCATGCCCCATACTCCTGGGAAGCGGAGGACATGGGCTCTTACGGTCCAGGGTGGAATCGGACTAAAAATGTGAATGGTTCTAAGATTGTACCCACACCTTGGCGCTACCAAACTCAGGCCAAACTCCGGGCAAACCCTGTTTGGGGTGGGCTGGCCCTTTATAAGGGTGGAGGATTTGTGGTGGAACTAGGCCCGGATCAAAAGAATGCAAGCAGGTAGCATAATGTGTAACAACGTGCAATGTAGTTTTAAAAGTAGAAGTTACAACAGTTAATGTGTCCTTTCCTTTCTTAGTCTTCTTCAGTATCTTTTTGACAACATCTGGCTGGACGTGTATACACGGGCTGTCTTTGTGGAGTTTACAGTTTATAATGCAAATGTGAACCTCTTCTGCATTGTGACTCTCATTTTTGAGACCACGGGAGTGGGTGAGGCATCTCTTCTCTAAATCCTTGAAAGATTCTCATGTTGTCAAAGGTTGGACTCATGGTAATTTTGTTGTTTTCACAGGTGCATTCCAATACCGTAGTGAGGTGCAGACTGTCCATCTTTATCAGTCCACTGGTGGCTTTCACATATTTGTTATGGCATCAGAGGCCATCTATTTCCTCTTCATTCTCTACTACATGTTTGTGCAGGTCCGCTCGCTCATGGAACATTAAAATAAAATGGTGTAATTTGCATCAGTGGAGCTGTAATGCACAGTATTTTGTGGATTTAACAGGGCAAACTGATGAAGCAGCAGAAATGGGCATATTTCAGAAGCAAATGGAATCTCTTAGAGTTGGCCATAATCATTCTAAGTTGGAGCGCATTATCTGTGTTTGTCAAGAGGACAATATTGGGTAACCGGGACATTGAGTACTACCAAAACAACAAAGACATGTGAGTGAAAGTCTTCAGCTTTTCAAGATCAATCAGCATGTTTGGAATGGAATACTAGACTTCTACTTCCTGCACAATATACACTTTATGTTTGAAAATACTTGAGAATTAATACAGCTGCTTCTCTAACAGGTTTGCCAGTTTTTATGAGACTGCCACTGCAGATGCTGTACTAGGCTATCTGATAGCTTTCTTAGTCCTGCTGGCCACCATAAAGCTGTGGCATCTGCTGAGACTCAACCCGAAGCTACACATGATCACCTCTACACTGCAACGGGCATGGACAGATATCTCTGGCTTCATTGTGGTCATGACCATCATGTTTCTGGCCTATTCCATTGCTGTGAGTATGTGATGTTCTTTAACATAAAATGAAAATAGACCAGAAATGGTGAAGTCCTGAAGAGTTTAGTTCTAGCCCTGCTCCAACACAACTTCCTGTAGTTTTCAAGGGTAGCATCGAAAAGTTTTGGCTGCTGACTTGTTGCTTCACTGCCCTATCAGGCAATGACAGCGTTTGTGCACTAAGGTAGTGAAGGATACATCTATGCTGCCTTCCACAATCAATCAGATGAAGGTATCAGTAGACAGCATGTGACATAACCACTGGATTCTGTGCCTTGTTGCCTTTGTATGCTACCTGCAGAGGCAGCATTTTTCAGCTTTTGGAGACAGCCAAGTAATCCTGAAGGACTTGATTAGCTGTACCGTGTGTCTTATTAGGGTTAAAGCTAAACTCTGCAGGACTGTGACCCTTCTCAAACTGAGTTTGGCCTACAAGCTCCTGAAAGGACAGTGGTCTCAAACTCAGTTCCTGGAGCGCCACAGCCTTGAAGAATTTAGCTCCAACTCACGTGCTTGGAAGTTTCTAGTAATCCTGAAGGCCTTGATGAGCTTGTTAAGGGGTGTTTAATTAAGGTTGGAGCTAAACTCAGCAAAGCTGTGGCCCTCCAGGAACTGAGTTTGAGACCACTGGTCAATAACATGAGGAACAGACTGAAATGCACGCTATTTGCTGGAGATTTTGATTGCCACCATATCTCTCTTTTGCAGGCTGCACACATTCAATTTGTACTCACATTTGTCTGAAAGTTTTACATTTTGTATTTCATTAGTGCAATTTGATGTACGGTTGGAGGCTCTACTCATACAGAACTCTGCTTGAGGCTGCACAGACCATTATTTGTCTACAACTGGGTATCTTTAACTATGATGAGGTAAAAATAAAGACCTATACTGAATTTGTACTCACTGCTAATGTGTTTAAGAACTTATATTATTCATTGTATTGTTTCCTTCTCCCTACAGGTTTTGGATTACAATCCAGTCCTGGGAGCTTTCCTGATTGGATCCTGCATTATCTTTATGACATTCGTAGTTCTCAACCTCTTTATATCTGTGATTTTGGTGGCTTTCAATGAAGAGCAACTTCATCCCACTGTAAATCTCTCATAATCAATTAATCCAGTGCTGTGCCACATTTTCGCCTTTCTAAATTAATTTAGTCTATCTCTTTTCCCTCAGCCTTCTGAAGAAGAGGAGATCGTAGACCTGATGCTGATGAAGATCTGCAGTCTTCTTGGCATCAAATGCAAGAAAAAGCAAATTGATGCAGATGCTTCTTTGACGACAGCTTCAGTCATATCATAGAAATGATGCACGTCTTTATAACCATGTGACAGTCAATGTAAGCTTTATTGTAAAATGCCTTTTGGTGTTTGGATGCTTAGTAATTGTTCTTGTACATCTTAAAAAGCTTTTTCCCCCTGATTTTTATCTTGCAGAATGTTTCCATTAGCTCTGTTTGAATGTTTGTCAGTGCTATTATTACAAATATTAAGCATGAAATATGCAACTCCTCTGAAAGTTTTTGTCCTACTACATTATTGCATTACATCTATCAAGACGTCAGCATTTCTGAGTGGATAACAGATGAAAACATCTTTTTTTTTCTTGTAGGGTAATTTCAAAACACAACATGCAGTAAAATTACTATCTGGGGAGTTAACAACTAATTCAGGAAACACACTGTGCACGCGAGTATTTATCCATAAAGGTATCTGAATCATACATGCCGTTTATGGCCTGCAGCATAAAGTTGCTGACATGCACTAAATGTCTGTGTTCTAGGAAAATTTCACCCATACCAACTGGCTCAGTCAATCACCTCAAGGGCTTACATTAAAAAAAGTAGCCTGTGATTGTTTTTCAGGTCTCAACCACCTATTGCTTAAGCAGGACAATAAGCTCATTCAAATAACCATGAAAAATAAGGAACAAAATGGCCTTTGTGTGCCCAGCCATTATTAAATGTGTAGCATGCATGTACCAGCAAAAAGACCCAAATCAGTCAGTCTTACAAATTATTGATAAAGTTTAGAATTTTCATTGGGGTCTGGCAACAAACCTATCGAATTCATCAGTATGTGTCACATATTTTGGGAGTCTACAGCCTTCAAAACCATATGCAAAATGGTTGTGAAATTTGGTATACTTGTGGGACAGGGCATTACTGGTAGCAATTTTGAAGTCTCTCAAACATTCCAGCACCACTGACCGTTTTGGCTTCCATTTCTGTTCATAATTATTTGAACAGAGTGGCCTGGAAATATATTCAGTGCACTTGGTTCCAATTTTCACCCACACATTTTCTGCCATTTTGAACATAAACCACGCATTTTAAACACCCATGATGCATCTGAGTTTCTCCACATTTGGGTTGGATAATTTTGATACTCCAAATAATTTCTGTATAGCGCTGGGATCCTCATTCCTAATGCTGGAGAGCCACTTTCCGAAAGTTCAGTTCTGCCGCTTCATCAGTTTGTCTTGTTAAATCCAGATGATATTGCGCATTATGGCTTCACTGATGCACCATCCTATTTCAGTGTTCCACGAAAGAGCTGACCTGCACAAAAAAATTGTACAGCAGATAATGAAGAGGAAATAGGTGGCCTCTGATGCCATAACGAATACATGAAAGCCATCATTGTACTGATAACGATGGACAGTCTGTACATCACTAGAACTTATCCTACAACTTTTATTTTGATTTTCTTCACATTTGGGTCAGATAACATCTATAGTTATCAAAGCTTTTTGATACACCAAATAATTTGTGTAACAAAGGGATTCTCATTTCTGATCTTGAAGAGCTACTTTGATACAGGAATGGAAACCAGGAAGTGAGGCTATATTTTAAAGCTCTGGTGTACTTAAGTAAACAGGACCATGACAACTGTAGAATAAATTGGCCTTAAATCATGTTGCTTATCGCCATATAACCCCAGGTACATGCAAAACAATGCATCACATGTTCCAAACAATTGCATAAACTTTTTCACAGCTTTTTGCTAATCCTACAATAACTGTCCAAACTGCACAAAGTTTGCTCAGATTAGGGGTTTTCAAACTGTTCATGGAGCCTCCAAAGCACCGCACCTTTTGGATGTCTCCTTTATCGGACATACCCAGTCAGATCATGGAGTGTTAAATAATGGAAACATCCAAAATGTCCAGGAATAGTTCGAAAACTCCTGGATCAGATTCAGACAAAGTCAAAAACATGACAAATTTTTCCTTGTTATTTTCATGAAAGTTAAGCCAATTCTTGGTATGGACAAGACCATGCCTTAAAGGATTAGTTCACTTCTGAATTAAAATTTCCTCAATTTCCTCACCCCCATGTCATCCAAGATGTTCATGTCTTTCTTTCTTCAGTCGAAAAGAAATTAAGGTTTTTGAGGTAAACTATTCTCTATATAGTGGACTTCAGTGGGGTTCACTGGGTGGAAGGTCCAAATTGCAGCTTCAAAGCGTTCTACACGATCCCAGACGAGGAAGAAGGGTCTTATCTAGTGAAACGATCAGCCAAAAAAACGGTAAAACAGCGATGTAGGACGATTTTGAAGTTGGAGAAAATGAGAGGGGAGTTTTTTGATGAACCGGAATGCACAGAGTTAATGCAGAATTAGACAAGACGAGCGTTTGAGGTTAAAAAGTATATCAATTGTATTTTTTTTTTAGAAAATGGCCGATCGTTTCGCTAGATAAGCCCCTTCTTCCTCGTCTGGGATCGTGTAGAACACTTTGAAGCTGCAATTTGGACCTTCCACCCAGTGAACCCCACTGAAGTCCACTATATAGAGAAAAACCCTGGAATGTTTTCCTCAAAAACCTTAATTTCTTTTCGACTGAAGAAATAAAGACATGAACATCTTGGATGACATGGGGTGAGAAAATTATGAGGAAATCTAAATTCAGAAGTGAACTAATCCTTTAAGGGACTCTTTATTGGCCACATTATTGCCGCTTGCAGCTATGCTCTCGGATTGATTCAGTTCTTACCCACATGGGGTCCAATAACATTAGAAAACTACTAGCCAATCCTGGGGTGCGTTTCCCATACAACAACAACGTAACTCACTTCTTAACTACAATAGTATGATGCTTTGTTGGAGAAACTAATTAGCTAGTTACAACTTTTTTCAGAAACAGTAGTAAAATGGTCGCACCTCCGTCGTTTGAACAATGTTGGTTCAACAAGGACTTTCGTTAATGATGTCACATAGGTGAAGTAATAAACTCTGCTCACCAATTGATTAGAGATCACAATTAATGTCAGATTAATGACAGGCCTGACAGAGATGTCAGATTAATGTAAATTAGACAAACATGAAGCTGTTCATTTTTGAATCACTTCAACACGCAGTATGTAATTGCCATTCATGGTTCAGTCAGCAGCTTTCTCCTAAAAGTAACTTCTCAGAGAAGCTGCTGTTACAAACGTGGTTTCTGAGGACTACTTCACTGTTTTTGAACCGATTCATATTACTTCGTTATTCAATTTCAGTCACAGTTAGAAAGGGGAAGGGAAAGAGAGGACTCAATTCATCCCAGGGGCGCTGCCACCAAAGTTGAAATTGGATGGCACCACCGGATCTGCAAACTTGTATCCTCCATGCTTCTCAATCATCTTTGATTCTAAAAATCAATCGGAAACATAAGTAAAAATTGGGGAAAAAATCAGCAGGCTGAAGAAATAAGTAACATTTTGGCAGCATATTAAGGCACCACATTTCGATTAATCTGGACACATCTTTTTTTTCCTCTACATGTTGGCCTTTCGTCCACACTGAACTGTATTTTTGTACAGCAAAAACAGAAGTCACTGTTGCTAAATTGACTAGAAGCCAAGTTGCTAAATTTGAAAACTCAGTTTTTGCATTTTTAGAGTAGACTGTGAAAACTGGGGTATTTGAAAACAATGATGCACGCTTAGTCGCGGCGTATATTTTAAGCATTATGTAACAATGCTTAAATACTTTGTATAACCTTGACAATATTTACTCGGAATTGCTGTCCTTTGACCGTGCATAGAAAGTTTTTGATTTTGAAATGATTTTTCCAGAAGAATAACTTTACATCTGGCCTCTCTGTATTATCACAATGTTGATGATTTACGCATGCGCAGTGATTTAAGACGGGTCAGCGTGGACTAGTAACTTTTGCAAAACACTTAAAAACACTAGCGTGGACCTTTTTCAAATGTATCTGGGTTAATGTGTACATGGCTTTTCACAGACTAGCATAAAGTAGGTTTTGGTTCCAATATCTGCCAGAAAAATACTACATTAAATATTGGTCATCAAGTGGGATAAAGTGCTGCGCAATCGATTTCCTCGCACAGCTTTTTTTTTTTTGCCTCACCATGTGCTGCTCGTCGCTGATCTGCAAGTGTTGCAATATCCTGAAGTTGTTTTCTTTGTTCCTCATCGAGACACTGTGTGAGCAACTGGTACCATGCTGGGTCACGGCCCTGGACATCTAGAGGAAAGAGAGCAGTCTGTCAGTAAAACACCCTTTTAAAGTGGCTCATTTAATTCATACTGTAGATGAAACCCATACTTTGGATTATGGCTTTGAAGATCTGGTATTCATCAACAAGGTTGTCCTCGTCGTCCACTGAGGTCGTGTAACCCTCAAGAGCGGTCTCCTCTGCGTCATCCTCCTCCCAGTCTTCATCGTCACCGTCCTCTCCTGCTTGTTTAGCTAGCATTTCAAGGTATTCCTGGCCTTCATCATCTATGTCGTCTTCATCACTGCCCAACTCGGCTGCATAGATACGCAACGAGTCCCATGTCAAAATTACAGTTCATTACTTTGAAACAACAGCAGGAAATAGAGCAATTTACTCAAATATACCAATTCACTCATAAAAATCTGTATTGTATAAAGAGAAAAAAAAAAAAAAAAAAGACCTCACTAATGTTTGAAATGTTTCTTTTTTCGTATTACTTGTTCTACATAGTATAAAAAAGGTATGCAGAATCCTTATTGAAAAATGCAATGTATAACTAAATGACTAAATAGTACTGCAACTACTCATTCATTTTATTCAGCATTAAATGGAAAAAATACAAGCTTAACTCTTTATTTGATCCAACTCAATTGTAAAAAATTTAATTAATAAAAAATAAAAATTGTTGTATTTTCATTTAAGAATTTCAACATTAACTTATTTTACTATTACTATAAAGCTGCTTTCAAAAAAATCTGTATTGTATAAAGAGACAAATAAAAAAAAAAAAAGACCTCACTAA